TTATATCTTTCAGCCACTACAAATTCCCCACCTTCTGAATGTGCACTTTGAATTTCCACTCCTTTTGTTTCTTCGTACCATTGTAAATATTTCAGGGCAAGCTCACTTTGGTTATCAATGTTTTCATACCCTTTCTCCGGAACAATTGCCAAATGGTCAGGCTGAAGATGATTCAGGCGGAAATGTTTCATACAGGCCGATGCTATTGTCATTGCATCCTTCAAAATATCGATTCCTTCTGTTGCTGCCCCAGGTTGTGTATTTTTCTTTTTGCTGATTTCGGAAAATTTTTTTCTAAAGGCGATCAGTGCTTCTGTAAGAATTTGTACATCGTTTGTGCAATATTCGGCCAAGGCTTCATCCAAACAAAACTGATTATCTTTTTCTTCTTCATACCATTTAATAAATTCATTCTGTTTGGCAGGACTCATTCCTTCGTATAAATAATCAGATTTTGGTGGTAGTTGTTGTAGGGTTCTACCATAATTCGCGGAGATGTTTGCCAAATGCGGGAAAAATTGTTTTTCAGTTACTTGTAGCCCAAATGCGCCAATCAGCTTCCCCAAGGCGACTGGACAAAGGTTATACGAGTCCCGGAATATAACCTCATTGCATTTGTTGTTGCGGGGAATTTTCAATTCATAAAGTTTATTACCACGGCGAATTATTGAGGGAGCAACACCATTCATGTATATTTCTTTGAACACCATAATCATATCATAACGTCCTCCATTGTGTGAAAATGCCATTGTTGTATATTGGGGGTTGAGTTCAAAAAGAATCCATTGGATAAAGAATTTAAGCGGATTTTCTGTGACAATTTGTTTATCGACTTTTGTTCGATTGAATGGGCGGTGGGAAAATGTGATTGATCTATTATTTCCGCAGATTGCACAGCTGATTCTATTTTGCCTTAGAGGTGAGCGCCATAGTTGTTCATTTTCCATACATTTTGTGCAGGTTACTGTTGCGGCGATGAAGTTTACTTTGTGGACCCGTCTTTCATCATTATCATTTTTTATCACTTCATTTTGTGTGGCCTCAAAATCGAAAGTTACCAGGCGATAATCAGCTCCTTTTTTCAGTTCCAATGGGCGAATAAAACATCCTCTATCCATGCTGTGAAATTGTCGACAAATCTGACACCACTTCTGGCCACAAACATGCTTCTTTTCAGCCTCTCTCTTGTAATTTTTCATTGACCATATAACACCACATTTTTCACAAATTTTTGTTTGCCGACAATTACTGCTTTTTTTGTGGTGGTTGAAGCAGTCTTCATTTAAATATTTTTTCCCACATTCATCACATTTTTTGTAAAAGTTTCCTGATGCCACACAAGGGTATTCACTTCCAACGCGTCCACAAAGATTGCAGCGTGATTTACATTTCATGTCGTGTTCCTTTGATTTTCTGAATTTCTTTTCACAGGTGAAGCAATATTTCATTCTTAATCCAAACATTCCTCCAACATTTCTTACTCCGTCAAAATGGTTGTTTGAGTGAAGAATTGAAATTTGTACATTGAAATTTTCAGCCCCATATTTAAATATAGGTTTCTCATTGTCCCTGCCAAAAACAAATACTTTGAATTTATAACCTGCATCTTTATATTGATTGTTCCAGAAATCGACGATGGTTGGTACATATTCCACAGCATCATATTCAGGGAGATCATGAGGGATTTTTGCTGCTTTTAGTAGGTCCAAAACATCTTTCATCTGTCGATGACTGTATTGCATATATGCATTAAATTTACGCCTATCCCCCAATTCTTTAGTAACATATTTTCTAGTAATTTCCAAGGCATAGAATAAGCATAAGTTGTTCGGATTAGCTATTTTAATCAATAATTCACTTTTTATTTGGCCATCATCTGTTCCGTTGTCTTGCGGCGCACGTCCTCTTATTGATTGATTTTTTGGAAGAGAGGAGATTCCAAGTGTTTGAATTTTCACTGTGAAAGGTTGGCCAAGAATTGATCCCTTTTCTATCTTCGATTGGGAAACAAGCTGGAAGCGATTAAGAATGTTGTCGACAGTATCATTTTCAATTCTTCTAATTGGTATCCAAATGTCGTTGTCTAATAATTGTGAAGATATTAAAGCTCCTAATCGGTCAGGTTCAATTGAATGGTTTCTTGAAGCTTCTACGGTCTTAGTCATACAGTCGTGTATTATATTTCTCAGTAGTTCCTCCGGATTCTCCGGCAATTTTTCAATAATAAACTTTCCAGATGTCCCCATCAATGCGAATTTTCTATTAAATGTTGTTTCGTAGTCGATTTGTCGATAATAATTTTTCGGGTTATTTACGCCCGCGCCGTTTTGCTCGTCATTGAATAAATGGGGAAGGAGATCGCGGATGAGGAATCTTGCGCGCTTGTTGGAGGAAGGCGCGTTTTGACCGTTATTAAATGCCATTTTATGGTTTTTAATTTTTTTAATTGTCGAGAGGTTTTTCGTTTTTTGAAGCAAATGGTTAAGAATGACAAAAAACCTCGCCTTTTATACTCCTCTTTTCAGACGGATGGGCGATTACGAAATATTTTTTGTCAAGGTCATGTGATGCGGAACTGGTAAAATTTGCTCCATTTAAAACTCATTAATCATCCGTCTGTCAGATAAGATCTCGAGATAAAAAGAAAAATTTAAATTAGGTTCCATTTTTCCTTATTTCATAAAATTGAAGGTCATATGCTACCGAATATTTTTGGCGGCTCAAAATTTGTCGCCTCAAAAACTCATTAATCATTAATCAATCAGAAAGATCTTGAGGTAAAAAGAAAATATTTTTTAATAAACTTTTTCTTTATTTCGTAACCTTCATGGTTATTTTAAATTATCCAAACTCTGTCGGCTTCAAAATTTGATGCCTCAAAAACTCATTAATCATCAATCAATCAGATAAGATCTTGAGACAAAACCCTTACATTCTGACTTCCGCCCTTTTTTGCAAATCATTTTAATTTTTTCTTAAAATTTTGTAAATTCTATCTCTCCTTATTTATTTTTTATTAATTTATTTTTTATTTAATTTATTTTTAATTCTACAGTATCCCGGACCCCTCCCCCAACTTTTTTTCAGTCCCAGACGGAAATTCCCAGACACAAATATTTCAGTCCCAGACTGAAATTCCCGGACCAAAATATCTCAGCCCCAGACTGAAATTCCAAGACTCAAATATCCCAGACCCAGATTGAAATTCTCAGACTCAAATATCTCAGTCCCAGACTGAAATCCCCAGATTCGAAAATTTCAGTCCCGAACTTAGCCACATTCAGCGTTTTGTGGGTTGGCATTTTGTGGTTGTGGCATTTTGTCGTTTTGACATTTCGAAATTTGATATTTTGAAATAATTGGTTAACTCCCCCTTACATTCTGACTTCCGCCATTTTTTCCAAATCATTTTAATATTTTTTTAAAATTTTGTAAATTTTATCTCTCCCTATTTTTTATTTAATTTATTTTTTATTTAATTTATTTTTTATTTAATTTATTTTTTATTTAATTTATTTTTATTAATTTTACCGTATCCCGGACCCCGGCCCCCAAAATATTTCAGTCCCAGACTGAAACCTTGTACCTGTATCTTGTACAAGGTACAAGTACCTTGTACAAGTACAAGGTACAAGTACCTTGTACTTGTAATCAATCAAATTAATCTGTCACCCATCAATCAGAATCTGGCAATCCGGGAACCTGAAAGTACCCCACACCAATTGGTTTCCCTTGATCACACCGCCAAACTCGGACAAATGGGATTCGGACAAATGGGATAACAACTCGGACAAATGGGATTTACTTGTACCTGTCAATCAATCACTTGTACCTGTCAATCAAAATGACAACTCGGACAAGTGGGATGATTAATTACCCCAAACCCCCTGGTTTCCCTTTGATCTTACCGCCAAGCTCGGACAAATGGGATGAGTAATTGCCCCACACCCTTTGGTTTCCCTTGATCTTGCCGCCAAACTCGGACAAATGGGATGAGTAATTGCCCCACACCCTTTGGTTTCCCTTGATCTTGCCGACTGAAACCTCCTATACCTTTTGATTTTTGCCGACAGACCCCTCCCCCACCTAAATGTCCGAAAAATAGGTCGGACATTTGGGGGGGGGGGGTAACTACTACCTCTGTAGGGGAGTTACAAAATTTAAAACATTTAAATTAAAAATTTTTTGGATCAGAAAAAAATTTATTATAATAAAACCTCCTTACATAAGCATCTAAAAATTTAAATTCCACTTCCAAATTTGTCAATTTTGGAAATACTTGGTGTGATTTTGCCAATTTATTTAACAATTTATTGATTGATTCTGTCTCTATTGCCGCCAATATAATTGAAGTAAATTTGAGCGAAACAATTTTTGAGAGTAAATCCATTGAGCGACATCCGTGGGAAGCAAAAGCTCTGTGAAAAAAAATTTTTAAAAATTTTTGAAAATTTTTTTTCAAAAAAAACCTTTCAGCAGCTCGAAAAGGCTGACTAAGCCGGTGAACTTCAATTCTCATAGACACACCATTTGTGGCTAGAGGTTCTAAAACTGGAGGGAGAGTGGCACCGGATGTATAGAAGGCAAAGAAATCTTGTTCCTACAAAAAAAATTTAAAAAAATTTTTGCGGACAAAAAATTTTTGCGGGCAAAAAATTTTTTGCGGACAAAAAAATTTTGCGGGCAAAAAATTTTTTGCGGACAAAAAAATTTTGCGGACAAAAAATTTTTGCGGGCAAAAAAATTTGCGGACAAAAAAAATTTTGCGGACAAAAAAATTTTTTGCGGATTTTCCGCAATTTTTTAAAAACAAATATAAAAAATTAATAAAAAATAAACCCTTTCCAAAGTTCCATTTCTAAGCGTAGATGTGTGTATAGCAACAAGTTTTTCACGCATTTCTCTAGGCAAAACCAATGGATGTGTTAAATGTTTTAAAGAAACAAGTGTTTTTAAATTATTTTGAATTAATTTTTCCATCTTTTTAGAACGTCTGTTTCCAAATTCGTAAGGTAAACTGATGACGTTAACAACACCTAAAATTTATGTAAAAAAAATTTTTTTGCGGACAAAATTTGCGGACAGAAAATTATTTGCGGACTGGTAAAAATTATTGGAGTAACGAGAACTCAAAAATATGACCCCGATAAAAGATTTTTGTTTGAGGTCTCATCTCGGTCCCATCCCTGTAAACTAGAAAAATAGGTCTGGACACAAAAGGTTAACTAAACGAAACCGAGGGGAGAGTGTACCGATTAAAAGGCGTGAATGTTGTAACTTATAGCAGGTTTTTTTTTGGCTGGACAATTTAGACAAATGAGGTGTCATTCGAAAGAGCTTCGAAAATTGAGTCGAACTAGAATCGGTCCAGCCAACAAACCCAACTATAAGTCACAATACCCAAACGCGTCAAAAAAAGGTCTGTAAAAAGGAGAAGGGGCAGATAAGGCGAACAACTTAAATTTTGATAAATCAAAAGATATGATAAATCAAAAGATATGAAAATTGAAAAGAAAAACTTCATTTTCTTGTACCAATTTTTCTAAAAAAGTCCGCAAAAAATTCCCGAAAAACAACCACAAAATTTCATTAAATTTCCGAAGATTAAGAAAATCCCTTCAAAAATCCCCCAAAATTTAAAAAAACCTTCAAGTATTAAAAGTGTTCCCATGAATTTATCAAAATCGACATCTTTTAAAGAAATTAAATGAATTTCCTTGATGGCGTTAAAAGAGTATTTGACAATTAATTCTAACAATCTTTTGAGATAAACGTAGCCAACACATTTGGATAAATCGATGATTAAGGAATCCTTAAATTAAAAAAATTTGACAGAAAAAAATTTTTTTGGATTGAAGCCTCCCATTCCTCCACAAAAAAATCCAGTCCAGAATTGATAAACAAAAAAAAATTTCCATTAAGGAAAGAGCTTTTTTGTCGTTTATCCATTTTGGAGGTGTTTTTTGGGGAGGAATAAGAGACTCCGAAAAATAAAAAAAATTTTTTTTCCAAATTTCTAATAATTAGAATCTTAAGCAGAAAAATAAAAAAAAACTCTAAAGTCAAAAAATCAACAAAAATAAATTTCAAAATAGATCGAAAATTAATTTGCATTACTTATTGAATATCAGGGACGTCCCAGGTTGAAAGAAAAAAGTTGGGGTGACCTATGATCGAAAAAAAGTTTATAAACTTACAAAGGAGAGGCTTTTGGGTGTCCGTGGGACTTCGGGATGAAATTTGGTAGACAGGTAGAGCATACCCTTTCTATTGTGAAATTTGAACCATTTTAACCAAATGGTACCGGGGACCGAGTTATAAGTCACCAGAGTTTTAGGATCCCCCTCAGTTTACTTTTCTACCAAATTTCATCCCGAAGTCCCACGGACACCCAAAAGCCTCTCCTTTGTTAGTGTACACATGATCCATAAATGAATATTATTCTTGAGTTTTCCCTGGACTTGGAAATTTTTTCTGAACTTGGAAATCTCAAAAAAGATGGGTATTTGGTGGGAGTAATCAGTACCTAAAATTTCAACGTCCCCATCTACCCCTAGGAATTAAAAAAAATAAAATTTTAAACCTTTCCATTAGCCGACCGAAACTGAATTTTGGCGTTATTCAAAGTTAGTATTGTCAGTTTTGCAATTGAATCGAGGGCAGATAATCGAAAAAAGTTTGGGCAGCACTTTAGAAAAAAAATTTTTTTCAAAATTTCAAAAAAATTTTCAAAATCCTTACAAAAATTTTAAAAAATCCATCATCCACAAAACGAGCATTTTCAACGACTTTTTGTCCAATTAAATATTGGATGTCTCTACTGACATAAAAAGAAGAAGATTTGTTTAAGTAATTCATTTTCTAGTATTTTTTGGTTAACAAAAAGAGAAAAAAAATAAATTAATAGAACAATAACGTTGATATGATTCTGAAAAATATTTTAGGAGAAAAAAGTTTTTTTGAAGTCAAAAATGGTGGGGTTTTTGACTTTATTTGAGAGTTTGAAGAGTTTGAAAAAAAACTTCAAACTCCGGGAGTTGAAATAAACTCAAATTTATAACAAGGACGTCATAGGCAGAGTTCGTTTCGGAATTTCCGATTTTTCAAGAGTTTCGGCATCGAAAAATCTTTGGCCCGGGTCACTCAAAACTCGAACTGAGGAAAATCTTGAAAACCCTTTTAAGACTTAAAAAACTGCCACGCGGCCTTCAACTGTCAATATTTAACTGCCAATTTTACATTCACAAACTGCCAATTCCTCATCTCCACACATAATTTAAAGAGGAATATTAGAGATAAGCTCACTATTTTCTAAAAAAAGAAAATAAAAGTACAAAAAAATTAGAAAAAAATTTTTTACGAAAATTTTTCAACTTTTTAACAAAATGACATTTTATCCCATGAAAAATGACATTTTATCCCAATTTACTCTAACTTCTCTAACTAATCTCCTTATTTTGCCTTATCTCTAACTTGAATTTTTAAGAAAATTTTTTTTTAATTTTCTGATTTTTTGTCAATTTTCTTTTATTTTTAAAAATCTTTTTAGGCCTCAAAAAATGCAGAAAAATCAACAAATTAAAATGGAAGCTGAGGAATTATTAAATAAATTAGCCTTAAAAGCCCAAACTTCTCGTTATTTTGTCAATCCATTTTTTGAAGATTCCAAATTAGCTGCTAAATATGTGACAAAAGAATGGATTTTACAGCAAATTAAATTACTGGCTGAACAAATTTCTAAAAGAAAAATTTCTTCGGATGAATATCAAAAAGGTTTCTTTTAATTTTATATTAGGGAGATTATTTCTAGGGGAGGAAATGGGTTCGTAAAGGAAGAAGGGAATCTATATTTTAGAGAGCGGGCTGGATCCGGACCTTGATTTTTCCTGGATCCAGAGTCCAGATCAAGGCATTTTCAGAGTTCCTTGATTTTTCCTTGACTCAATGTCAAGAATCTGGCCAAGGTCCCAGGCCCGTAGCCAGGTGGTGGTGAGGGGGCACTAAAAAGTAAATTTTTTGGCCTACGGCCTTCTAAAATTCTCAAAATTTTCACCTGCGGGGCTGAAAATAAAAATTTCCCCTCTTGGCACCTCCCGAAAAAATCCTGGCTAGAAAAAAAATTTCTTCTCAAAGAAAAATTTCTTCTGATGAATATCAAAAAGGTTTCTTATAAGTTTAAATTAAGGGAGATAATTGCTAGGGAAAGAAATGGGTTCGTAAAGGAAGAAGGGGTATCTATATTTAGTTTAGAGCAGCTGGATATGGATCCGGACCTTGATTTTTCCTGTATCCAGACTCCAAATCAAGGCATTTTTCAGAGTTCCTTGATCTTTCCTTAACTCAAGGTCAAGAGTCTGGTCAAGGTCCTTACTTAAAATCAGGGTCAAGGATTTTTGAACTCGCTCTCTAATTTAGTTGGCTAGCATTTAATACGATTTGTCAAAAATTCGAAGATTTAAGGGGCTATTGAAGTTGGCTAAGTCGATAGAGCACCTGCAGGCTGGTGAAGTAAGGGAAAGCCTCTAGCATCGAGTTCTTTGACTCAATGTTAGTCAATGCTGAGCATGTTCCTTCACGCCTTCCTTACACTTCTTATAGTAAGCGAGAGAAGGAAGAAGCCAAAGGGTCGATTACTCCCACCTCCATTTTTATTTTTCTTTCTAGGCAGTCTCCCAAAAATTTTTCCAAAAAAATTTTTTCAGAAGGTCCCTATGTCGGTCCAAGCGGAATTGCTTACTCTCTTTTACGCGTCACACAAATAAACAAAAATTTGGATTTAACAAAACAAACAAAAAATATTTTGGAAACACAATCGGTTAGTCTTTTAAATTTTTAAAAATAATTTCAAAAATTTTTTTTAGAAAATTTCTTCAAATTCTTCAAATAAAAGTAAATATTTGAATGGACGTGCCGGTTTTTATTTAATTAAATTTTTGGCTAATTTAATTGATTTGGACAATTTTAAAAGAAAAATTGGGAAATTAATTGAATATGTTGTTGATGAAACTGAGGATAATGAAATACTTAATGGGAGAGCTGGGTTTTTGGCTGGATTTTTGGTGTTGAGGTAACTGAGGTTTTTCTGAAGTTTAAGTTTAATTAGGAGTTGGGAAAATTTTTAATAAATAATAAATTGGGTACTAGTGTCGTTTCCAGACCCCATTTTTTCCTCCACTTACTATATACGGAAACTTGGGGAGAAAAAAATGGGGCCGGGAAACGACACTATTTATCACCAAAAATTGATTGGCTCCTGAAAGTGAAGGAAATTTGTCAAGTTTTTTCCTCCATTTTCCCTGGGTTTCCCCCTATTTTTATTTAAAGTCAAAAGGAAAATTAGGGGAATTTTTGACGAATTCTCTAACAATTTTTTAAATCACTTTCGGGTCTGTCTATTTTTTTTGTCATTCTCATTTTCGGCAAGGATCCCTAAAATGCTTGAATTGCTTACTCTCTTGCTACTCCAGAGCTATTGCTACTCCAGAGCTATTGCTTACTCCAGGGCCCTATTTCAATTGTCCACAGATTCTGCGGTCTGCGTTCTGTGCACAGACCACAGAACCACAGAAATTCTGTTTCAATTATTCCACGGATTCTGCGGAAAAAGGAGTCCGCAGATTCTGTGGAAACATGCACAGATTCTGTGGAAACATCCACAGATTCTGCAAAACATCCAAAAACATGCAAAAACCACAGAATTCTATTTCAATTATTTTTCTGTGCACAGAAAAAAATCCACAGATCTGTGGCTTTTTTAGTCGATTCTGTGCATTTCTGTTTCAATTATTTCTGTGGTCTGCGGAAAATACACAGAATTCATTAAAAAATCCACCCTAAAATTTTTTCTGCGAATTTTCTGTGGAAAAACTTTAAAAATTTTTTTCTAGGCCTAGGCTTAACCAAATTTTAAAATTTTTAGATAACATTGAAGCTTGATTCATTCTCTATTTTTTGATATAAAAATTATAATTTTATTACTTAAAATTATTGCTTAAAATTAATTTTGAAAAAGGTACATCATTTTTTGTAATATTTTTTACTAAAATAAAAAAATTTAAGGAAAATGTTCTTCGATTTTGAAATATTTTACGATGGAGAAGACGAGCAAACGATTAAGCAGAACAAAATTTATAGGCCTAGAAAATATTTTGAAGAAGAAAATTTTAGAGAAAGATTCAGGCTTGATAGAGAACAATTTGAAGATTTTTTAAGTCAAATTTCAGCTTCATTAAAGCCAATTAATTCAACAAATCACGCAATGTCAGCTAAAGATAAACTTTTAACTGCACTTAGATTTTATGCAACTGGAAGTATATATGCTGTTATTGGTGATTCACATGGACCATCCAAATCATCAGTATGTAGATCCATAAGACAAGTTACAAGAGCAATAAATTTATACATGTTTCAAAGAAATGTTGGATATCCTGACAATTTTGGTAGTAAATTTAATAGTTTGCAAATTATTTAAAATTTAGCCAATACAACAACTGGTTTTTATGAAAAAGGAAAAATACCATCAATTTTTGGTTGTATAGATGGAACATTAATAAAAATATTAGCCCCTTCAAAATATGAGGAACAGTTTGTGGATCGTAAGAATGAACATTCTATTAACGTAATGCTTGTTTGTGGCCCAACTTTGAAATTTTATGATGCATCCGTTCGGTGGCCCGGGTCTACTCATGATTCCAGAGTTTTTAAAAACTCTCGCCTTTTCGAAAGATTATCAAGTGGTTGGAGGCCTTTTCATGGAGCATTTCTGTTAGGGGATTCTGGTATTTTAATTCTAAATGAGATATTAATATCCCTTTTTATTTTTAGGTTACCCCCTTCGTGATTACATTCTTACACCAATTCCTAATCCACGGAGCGCTGCTGAAGAAAAATTTAATCGCTCTCACAAAAAAACAAGAAGATTAATTGAATGTGCAATTGGAATTTTAAAAGAATCTTTTCGGTAACCTTATTTTAAATAATTTATTTAATTTTTTAAGATGTCTAAAAAAATTACAAGTAAAGGACCCTTCTTTTGCCTGTGAGATAATTAAAGCTTGTCTAGTAATACACAATTTTCGGACAAATGAAGAACCATTTGAAACGCCAACAAACGAAGAAGAGGATGATCAAATACCAATTGAAGAAACTCAAGATGATTTAGAAGGAAGAGAAAAAGGACTTGAAAAATTGAATCAAATTGTCGCAATATTTAATTAAGTTTTTCAAAAAATCAAAAAACAAACAAAATTTTGAAAAATCGAATAAATTTTGATAAATAAATTAAAGTTTAAAATATGTAGGCTCATCATAAATATTTGAAGGTTTTGATTTTTCTTCCAATTGAGCAATTTCAAGTTGAAGTTTTCTCTCCTTCAATTTTGCAACACGAGTCAAAACTTCCAAATATTCTTCTTTTTTCTTTTTATAAGTGTCAGTCTCATCTAAATTTAAAAGTTGAGAATATATAATTTTAGAATTTGTTTACCTTCAAACATTGCCTTTCTTTTGATGGATAATTTTGGAGTCAAAGTTGAAATATCATCAATAATTAAATCTTCATTTTCATCTTTTTTTTTATTATAAAACTCAAATTCATCAGTATTACTGCAATTGGCATCAGGTATTGTTAATCCAGCAACCACAGGAGAATCGACTCCAAGAATATCACCCATTATCATATCTAATTCATTTAAGCGAGTTTCACCACCGCTGCCAGTTGCTTTGTTTCTGTCAATTTTTGTCTAAAATATATATTTAAAAGATTTATTAAAGATAACAGCAAACTTTATACTCCTTAACAAGAGACGGCCATTTTGTGCCGCTCAGCCATTTGGCTTCGCGCCCTTTAGTCCACTCAGCACCCTTTGATTCACAAATTCTGAAAATTTTTTCCCAAGCATTCCTTTTTTCCTCATAAGTAATCTTGGTTGAAAATTTGCTAGATATTGTGGAGTAATTTTCTTTAATTAATAACAGCAATTCCTTCTTTTCTTGATTTTTTTTATCAGTCATTTCTAAAATTTATTTTAAAAATTAAATTAAAGATAAATAAAGGCTAATATAAACTGTTATTTTCAAAAACGCGGAAATAAAAAATTTGAATTTAGAAGGAAAAATACACAGAACCACAGAAAAATAATTGAAATAGAAATTCTGTGGATCAGTGGAAAAAATCCACAGATTTTTATATTTTCCACAGAAATTTTCATCCACAGAATCTGCGGAATGTTTCCACAGAATCAGTAGATGTTTCCGCAGAATCTGCGGGCACCACAGATTCTGTGCACACAGAATTTAATTGAAACAGAATTTCCACAGAATCTGTGTTCTGTGCACAGAATGCAGAATCTGCGGACAATTGAAATAGGCCCCAGAGCTATTTTGAAACAAATAAATCTTCAAAAATCGAAAGTTTGAATTTGCGAATCACTTTTGGTCTGTTTCCTGGTTTTTTTTGTCTTCGGGTTCTCTTTTGAATACTCCCGCATCTTTTGAATTTTACATTTAAATTCATTAAATTATTAAATTTAGAAGTGAAGACAGAAAAAAGATAATTTCTGATGATCAAATCAGGCAAGTTCTTAATGCTATGTTGGAGGCAGGTTTTTTTTAAATTTATTTAAATATTTTTAAAAATTTATTTTTAGGCCGTACTTATTCTACTGAACACGATTCCGATGTGAATTTAATGTATGAATGGCATGAAAAAGAATATTTGGGAGCGGCACATGGACTTGCTGGAATTTTACAAATATTTTTGAGGTTTTTTAAAAATTGGAAAAATAATTTTTTTTTGATTTTTAAAAATTTTTAGTTATTGGAATTTCCTCGATTCTAAAGCTAAAAACGATGTTAAACAAACAGTTGAATGGTTTTTGGGTATTCAATTAAAGGATGGAAATTTTCCTTCTAATACAAGCAAAATAGGTTTAAAAAATTTTATAAAATAAATTTGGAACAAAAATAGGTATAATTTCGGAAAACGAACAGAACCGAAATAGGTCGAAATATATGTCATTCGAAAGTGCTCGTCGAGTTGAGTCGAATGGTGAAAAAATTTTCGTGTGATTATTCTATATTCTAATATACAATATGCTATTATTTGTTATTCTAATTTTTTATAGCAAAAATCCTCCCATAAATTTGACCATTTCGAGCCCTATATCTCAGTCCCTCTAAGAGTCCGCACGAAAATTTTTTCACCATCGTCTCAATTCAATTAGCTCTTTCGAATGACAATAATTCGACCTATTTCGACTCTGTTCGTTTTCCGAAATTATTCCCAAAAATGAACAAAAATAGGATATTTTTTTCAATTTTCGCGGATTTTTCATTTTTGTGGACTGTCCGCAAATATTTGCGGATTGTGCGCAAATTTAATTATGTCCAATTTTTCGAATTCTAGTTAGATTAAAAAAATTTATATTAAAAAGTAGAATTAAAAATTTAATGTTTTCTCTTTTCTTATAGGAAAAGAAGCAGAACTTGTTCATTGGTGTCACGGAGCGACTGGTGTGCTTCAAATGTTGTTAGCTGCTCATTTAGTTTTTGAGGAGGAAAAATATTTGGAGGTTAAAATTATTTTTTGTTTTTAAATAATGCTTAGGTATGGCAAAAATTAAATTTCAACCCCCCCTGGGGGCTTTCCTAAAAATTTTCCGCAAAAAATTTTTTGTCCGCAAGTTTTGTCCGCAAAAATTTTTTCCTTTTTTTCAATAAAAAATTTCTAAAAAATATTTTTTTAAGGCAGCCAAATGTTGTGGAAATTTAATATGGAAAAAAGGAATTCTTGCTAAAGGTCCAGGAATTTGTCATGGAATAGCTGGGAGTGGATATGGACTTTTATTGTTATATAGATTTACAAAAGAAGAAGAATGGTTAAATAAAGCAAAAACTTTTGGGTTTATAATGTTGAGTAAGAGTTTTAAGGTTAAAGTTTTTTTTGTTAAAAAATTTTTCTTTAACAGGGCAGGACTTTTTTATTTCCTATTAGGGAACATTTTTTTGGTTTGCCAAAAGGGATAAACTCGGTCAGAATAATCGGCCCAGAAAATTAACGAACCCTAAAAATGCCATCATCGGCCCGACTCGGAAGCGGCTCAGTACCAATTTTAACCAAATTTTCTTCAAAAAATGCTAAATCCAATCAGAGCAATTTTATAACAATCTTTTAGCAAATAAAAATAAAAATTTTTTTTAGAAAGAAGCAAGAATTCCAGATCGTCCATGGAGTTTATTTGAAGGATGGTCAGGCGCTTTATGTTTTTTGGTTGATTTATTAGAACCTTTAAAAGCACAATTTCCAATGATTCCAATATTATTTGATGATTGAATTTTATTTTGAATTAAATTTATTTGGAAGGATAAATTATTATGAAAATATATTTAAATATAATTTTTTTCATTTACCGTATTTACTCTAATAATTCTCCAGTCTCTATTAATTCCCCAGTCTCTATTAATTCCCCACCCTAGTGATGGGTTGGAACCAGAGATGGG